CTTAAGCAATAAACAGGTGCTATAATTACAATTGCTAAGTAATTAAGGAAAGGAATTGATACTAAAAAGTCTAATTGTATATAATGTGGTTTTTTTGGTAGAATGAATTATGTGATTTTGTGTGTGTGTATGTGTGTGTGCGTGTGTTTGCATGCATATGGCAGAGAGAGAGAGAGAGAGAGAGAGAGAGAGAGAGAGAGAGAGAGAGAGAGAGAGAGACTGACCAACCCAGGTTACTTTACAGCTCCTGGGTTCAAGAGATTTTACTGCCTCAGTTTTCCAAGAAATTGGTAGTACACACATATGCTACTACTGCATACAACAAAGATGAAGATTTTAAAAAAGATTTACTTTATTTTATGTGCGAATGTTTTATTTGAATGTGTGTTTGTGTGCCATGTCCATGGCCTGGTGCACAAGGAAGTCAGAAGTGTGTATCAGATCCATTTGAACCAGAGTTACAAGTGGTTGTGAGCTGCCATGTGGAGGTAGGAACTGAATCCAGGTTCTCTGTAAGAATAAGTACTTTTAACCACTGAGCCAACTCTTTAGCCCCAAGAATGAAGAATTTTTAAAAGGCACTTTAAGTATTAAAATTCTTGGGTTAATATATGTCTATGCTTATTGATACCATCCAATCATATTCCCTGTTTTATGATATAACATGTGTTTTATCTTTTCATTTACGACCTTGTATATATTATTATTTATTTCTCTTTGGTAAATGGCAAACAAATGTGCATACATAGAATTTAGGTCCATGTTTCACAGGACTAAGTCCTAAGTAGGAGCCGACATTTGTTAACTCCAAGGATGTGGGAGCCTGGGTAAGAAGCTGAGCATTTACTCTAACTGTGGATGGGGCAGAGTGCAGAATGCTGTTTCTACAAGGTGGCCTTCTAGAAATGATTGCATGAACTCTACTAAGTGAATGGACCTGAAACCTAGGATGGGAAGGGAGTGCCCTAGCATGTCCACATTATCTCTGAGTGTAAGGCAGATGCCTGGAAGGAAGGAATACTCTTAGCTCTTTTCACATGACCAGAGATGATAAGGCATATCACCAGGTGGAGTCCCTTCCTGTACTTGTATTTGCTTATACTAACTGAGACGTCATCTCAGGTTTCTTTTGCTTTAATAATAAAAACGAGAAGTGCTTTGTGTGCACCACTCCCGAGTTCTGTCTCCTGGAGTCCCCTGGATCCTCACGAAGGTCTTTGGAATATTCTTTACTATGTCTATTTGTATGTTTCGTAGCTATTTTTATTTATGATTTTGTCTTTTAACTCATATAATAGAATTAACGATGATACATGGGCCGGCAAGATGGTGCAGCAGCTAAAGGTGCTTGCCACCAGTCCTGATGGCCTGAATCTGACTCTGGGAACCAACATAGGAGAAGGAAAGCACTGACTCCTTCAGCTCGTCCTTTGACCTTTACACATGAACTGTGGCATGCCTCCCCATATCCTTAACCAAATAAATGAGAAAAAAACATGATATGTCTCATGTTAGGTATTACAGAATTTTGGTTGTCTATGTATTTGTTGTTTCCAGCAAGCTTTATACATTCCTCTGCTTCTGTGTTCTTGTCAAGTGTACTTGCTTTTTGTTTGGAAGGGGTCTCTTTAACATTTCCCTTTAGGCAGGTTTCAAGCATTTATGTGTCTGAAGATGCCTTTTCCCCCCCTGATATTTGTAGTGTTTTGGTAGTTTTGCTAGATTCAATATTCTTGGTTTGCCTCCCCCCTCCAATATATCATTTTGAGTAGGCATTTATTCCCTTCTCTCTTGTGAAATTTCCGCTGAGGAATCTGCTGATAGTCTTAGGATTTTTGTCCCAATTCCACATTTTAAATCAGTTTGTTCATCAGCGACTTGAACTCTATGAGTCTGTAAAGAGAAAACACTGTGCTTTATGAAGCCAGACAGCAAGATGGAATAGAGCAGGACATGGCTGACTCTGAATCCCAGCCAGAGTCTGAGCATTCTGTCGTTTTCTGCCTGTGCTGAATGGAAGCTGGAAGAGCAGGAGGCTTAGGAGCTGGTGATGGCATCTGGGTAAAGAAATACACGGGCCAATGTTTCATTAGGAAAATAGCAACCCATCCTTCCAGGCAAAATATTTTTCATAGATGTGCTTAATACGTGTTTATCCAGTACAGTATTTTTCTTTATTCTTTCGCTTATGTGATTACTCAGTTTGGGTTATTGTATTATAAGAGTGATATTTAGTCAAAGATTACTTAGTGTAAACATTTCTGACATTGTTTTTTATTTCTCAACCAGGCAGAGTAAAGGGTGAATAATTCTTGAGGGCCAACGCTCTTAAAGGGACAATACTTTTAGAGCACAAATACAGTATTTTATTTCTCTCCTGACAATATAATTAAAGCATTTGTTTAAGAGCCACATGATTAAATACACTATTTTATAAAATGCCACTAAGTGCACTGATTGCCATTCCCATAACTAAGGGTCTGTCAGAGTGCCCTGGTAGAAACCATCACATGAGGGATAATTGATTAAGACCAGTGGAAAGCAATCTAAGATAACCTTTTGTTTTTAATTAAAATGGGAAATAAGAAGCCAGTTCAAAAAAATTGTCTTTCTTTATTTGTCCAAAGTGAGAGCAATGGAGTTTCCTTTCCAGCAAAGGCCCAGCACCTGTGAAAACACTTAGGCATTTGTGCTGTGTACTGCGAGGCTGTGGCCAGCGCAGGCAAAGCCCACGTGCTGCCGTGATATACTAGGGCAAGGATCATTAGCAAATGAATTTTTTAGCTGTCACACGTTTTGGTGATAGGGTTAAGAGGACATTTTTCCTTCTTGAAATTAAAGCAGTGCCTTCTAAGAAGCTTGGAAGAAACGGGCTTCCTAAGATAGAAGATTTGAGTAGATGTGGGACACAGACCTTTCAGATGTGGAGTGGAAGGTTAGTTTTTGGACTGTGTTCTGGTCTACCAAGCTAAGGCCTGAAATATAGTGAAGAATCATACAGTATTTTAAAGGAAGTTTTTGTTTGTTCTGGCCTCAGCTCACTGTATAACCAACTCAGCCCCAAATCTCTAGTCCTCCTACTTTAGTGTCCTTAGTGCTGGGGATGGGGTCCATGCCTCTGTGTCGAGTACTTTTCTTCTTTTTTTGCCCTTTGCAAAGTAGTTTTTCATTTTTTTTTTGCAACTAAAATTTAATTGCATCTTTTCCCTCCCCTTTCCTCCCTTCAACCTCTCTATGCACCCTGTGCTCTGGCTTTTTTTTGTTATTATAACATATATGTGTGCATAAATATATCAATACAACCTGCTAATCTGTTTAGTGTTGTTTCTATGTATATGGTTTCAAGACTGACCCTTGGTATTAGATAACAATTAAGGGGCTCATCCCCAGGGAAAACTAATTTTCTCTCTCATTAGGTATTAGTTGTTTATAGTTCTTTGTCTAGGTATATGCCCATGTGGAATTTCCTCTTTGCACATTAACACATATAATATTAATATGTATTAATATTGTCCTTCAGGTGTTTTTAGGCAGCCTTATTGTGGGGGGAGCCTAGGTGACGTTTCCCTGTCCTTTTCAGAAGACACAATCTTACAGCAGGTTTTCTGATCCTCTGGGCTTTTACAATCATTCTGCCCTCCTCCCCATCTTGCCCCATATTCGTGATTTGTAGGTGTAGCAGGTGTATTGTAGATGTGTCCAGTGGGGGTGGGCACACTGTAATCATTTGTTCTCTGTATTTGACCGGAGTCAGGGTCTCTGTCTACTCCAAAGAGAAGTTTCTTTGATGAGGGATGAGAGTTGCCTTGCCTTTGGGTGTAGTGTCTGTGTTTCGACTGCAGATCGTAGGTTTGTTAGTCTGGTCAAGAGGTGATAGAAGTTGTCCTCTAAGATCCATGCTTCCACTCGCTTTGGGTAGTTGGGTAGGTTTCTAGGACCAGACACGATTTCCCTTCTGGTAAGCAGGCCTTCTGTCCAATTAGACAGCTTTTGGTTACCCCCAAGACATGAGTGCCACTATATCCCTTTCAGGGAGACCTTGCCATGCTGCTCATTGCTGTGATTCATAGACTTCCCAGCTGGATAGGAGTATTGATGCCCACCCCTCCTGGCACCTTGCATAGGGTCTTTTAGTATGATGAAAGCTAGTGCACAGGGAAGAGGTTTCTAGGTCAGCTCCAGCTCAGACCCTTTGAGTCCTGTGACCGCAGTTCATGGTGTCTTCAGTAATAGGGACTCCACTTCAATCTCTAGGAGGCAACCACGCCTGCCCAGTTCTTGAACTGAATTTTAAAGAGGCTTATTAAGCTGTAATATGTGTGAAATACTGTTCAGTCACTGAAAATGGATAATTTAATTTCTTTTACTGTATTTAAGAATTATACAGGTATTTGAGGTTGTTTCTGCTATTCAATATCCCATGCTTTTAGGACTAGTGCCCCACACCAAATAATTCAGCTGGGATTTTAATAGGGATTTTGCTGAATGGAAATCAGTGTGGGAAATATTGCCGTTTGAACATTTATACTTGTGATCAATGAATAAATTTATTTTCTCATTCATTGTGTTATGCATAGAGATTGAAACCGGAGCTTATAGAGATATTTTAAAATACTGCTCCCCTTTGTGGATTTTAATTATTTCATACAAAAATAACCAATTGGATATATCACTATGTGGACCTATTTGTTGTTTGTATAGCTTAAGTGTTGATTGTCTGAACTATAAACTTCCTTGGGGTAGACTATATATTAACTTTCATATTATTTAGTGTCATAGTTGTTTAAGAAATACACGTTTCAATTCACGCGTGGAAGCCATTATAATAGAGTTGAAAAATTAGTGCTAGTATGAAATCGCCATTAATGGCAGTAGCCGGCATTTCTAAGCCTTCTAATTCATCCACAGTCATATTTTTACCTTGAAGAACTAAGAGCTGGGAATTGCTTTGTGGAGTTCACTCCAAGGCCCAATTTACGTGTCTTTTAAATTTTTCTTAGGTTCCAAATCTGATTCCAGTTTTGATGTTCAAATTGGGAAAACCATTAGACCCTGTATTATACAATGACATATTGTATACTTTACCGACACTTGGTGTTCACAAGGTTAGTATATCAACTGACTGATTCCTTTTGGGGAGGAAGGGGGGAGAAACCTAAATAGTTGGTATTGATTTCATATTTTATAAAATTTCATATTATAAGATTATTATGATATTCTAGTTCATATTATAAAATTTTAAGTCCTAATTTTGCCATGATCCTTAATTCCCCTTTTAGTTTTGTTTTAGAGTAGCTAATGTAAAATTATTATAATATGTAAAAATTTATTTAAATCTCTAAATATCTGTTTTCACATTGTCTGTGCTCTGAGATTAGGCCCCTGCTCCCTAAATTGCTGACTAGTCCCTCCCAAACCTATCTCCCTTCTTCTTAGGAGAGTCGAGCTAAGTAAGCTTACACTCAAGTTCTTATTTGTAACAAAGAGTTTAAAATGCCTTTTGCAACCTTGAAGTTGCCTTCCTTCGTGAAAACAGTTAACTTAATATTTTCTTAGGTATGCATAGGGCAGATTCTGCGGGTTATTCAACTGCTTGGAACCACTCCACAACTAAGAGCTGTCACATTGCGCCTGTTGACCTCTCTGTGGGAAAAGCAGGTAAGCTTATATGTACACTTGTTGCATGTTAAACGCGTTCGTTTTTCTGACGAGAGGGATTATGTGACAGTGTGACTTACTATTACGATAGTACTGAGTGTTATCAATGACTGCATTGGCAAATTGTGATTTATTGTGGTTTTTTGATCTGTAAAATAGTCAATTGTGTTTGACCTAGAAATTGAGAACATACAATAATCCTATGTTCTATGCCTGGCCTCTCTCCGTTTGTCTGATACAGCAACAGGAGTGCTGCGGTGGGGAAAGCCTTTGTAGAGAGGGTGTGGTCTGGAAAGCCTCCATGATCACGACAGCCTTCCCTGCTCATTAGCAGCGATACATATAATTTCCAATGCCAATCCAAGATTTGGAGGTGAAAATGCTGCATAAAAGGAAATAATCATTATTCAGCTTGAGTTAGGAAATTTACTGTTTTTGTCAAATTGTCTTTTTAGGATCGTGTGTACCCTGAACTGCAGCGTTTCATGGCCATGTCTGATGTGCCCTCTCTCTCTGTGGGCAAGGAGCTCCAGTGGGAGAAACTGATTGCAAAAGCTGCATCCATCAGAGATATCTGTAAACAGAGGTAAGATGGCCTTAATTCTTCAGGATGCATGCCATAAGAGGTTACTTTTCGCTTTTATTTTTTGTAATCCAAAAAAATACTATTTTTCAAAATCAAGTATGTTTTTCCTTTTTAATTTGGGTCTTGCATTTCCTATATAGTGTATTTATATCCTTTTCTGGGCAATAATTTAATATTATAACATATATCATGTCATGTTTTTTATTTTTCTGTATATAAATCCATGACAAGTAAGCAGTAGACTGTAGGCATGAGCAGTTCATTGTTGTTTCATTTTTAAGACGGGGTCTCACTGGGCTTCTCAGACTGGCCTTGAACTCAGGATCCTTCTCTTTCAGCCTCTTGACTCCTGCGATTGCAGATGTGTGCCACAGTTCGTCTCTCAGGCCAGATTCTTTTTTTTTTTTTTTTTAAACTTTTTTTATTACAGTTATTTATTTACATGTGTATGTGTGCACATTTGCCATGACATTTGTGTGGAGGTCAGAGTAAGTTGATTCTTTCCCACTGGGGAGCAAACTCAGGTTGTCAGCAAGTGCTTTTATCTTCCAGGCAATTGTGATGGCCCAACATACATGTTTTGTTTTATGGGGAAAAATATTTAACAAGTTTTAAAGTGTAATACATTACTATGTATTAGTTAGGTTTTATTTTGTTTTGTTATTTCTTTCTCTCTTTTTTTGTCAGCTTGATACTTTTTTTTTTTTTGTGTGTGTGTCATTTGAGAGGAGGAACCTCAGATGAGAAAGTGTTTTCATCCTGTTCATCCTGACTGCCTATAGGCAAGTCTGTAGGGCTGGTCCTTAAGCTTCTGGGGACTCTCCAGTCTCCAGTTGCCATCTTTCCATAGGGTTATATACAAGTGTCACAGCTTCTGCCTTATCTGGGATCTGGGGATCCTGACTCAGGTCAGCATCACACTTGTGTGGCAAGTCCTGTTACCAGTGGGCCGTCTTCCCACCCTGGGTCCTAGCTTTTAATGTTTGTATGTATACATGTGAGTGTGGGTATTGGTCATGAAACTAGAAGAGAAACCACAAGAGGGTGGGAGGAATAGCTATGGAGAAAAGGAAGTGGAAAATAGGACATGCATGGCATGCAGGTAAAAAAGTAGCCACAGTAAATCTTGATATGGGATATCTTACCATTTATTTGTGTCTTCATCATTTCTTTTAGCAATGTTTTATATTCTCAAGTGTAAAGTCTTTCATCTTCATTGTTTAAATTCATCTCTGTATTTGATGCCACCATAAAATTATTAGAAAGTGGAAATACATTTCCTGGCATAGAAGAAATATTTAATAATCTTTAATCTCTCAAGGAATCTGAATCTTTACTAAATAAAGAGCTCTCTCAAGTAAACAATAAAAAATAGATCAATAAATAATTTGTCCAGTGAGCCCAAAGTAGATATGAAAATGGCAAGTGTATTCATTAGGAGATGCTTAAGATCTCTAGTGATCAAAAAATGTGAAATGAAATCATAATAAGATGCCAATGTCATGCCCATTTGGGAGTCTATAATCCAACAACTGGTAGCATGAGCATGTGGAAAAAGGAGCAGTCTGGTGGACTACTGGTGAGGCCGTGAAATAGACTAGTTGCCTTGGAAAACAATACATAGTTGCCGTATGAACCAGCAGTTCTGCCCCTAGGCCTTCACCCAATAGAAATGACAATGTGCATCATCGCAAAAAGCTGCAATTGAATGCTAACTGCGATGTCTACTTTAAACAAAATTTATGTTTCTTTATTAGATAGAAAACGCTAACATAACCTTATGTTATAAGTCCTAAAACCCACAAATACACACAGAAAGAACACAAGCAGATCTAATAAGTGAATTTGGTGAGGTTTCAGGATCAAAAACCATCAACATATAAAAATCAGTAGTGTTTCTATGTACTAACTACCAACAGGCCAGATTCTTGTAAGCATTATAGTAGGAAAGCCTTATTGTAGCTTGTCGGGAGAAAATGATGTTGGGTTTCCTTCTATCCTCTAAGCTTTTAGGAAAACATGAAGACAGAGAACCGACTCCTGGTTTGGATTAGGGATAAATCAAAGAGCTAAGAATGAAACAACACAAGCAAAGCTCCCCTAGCTAACGTTTCTTTTCTTCTTTTCCTCCCTTGAATGGGGCAGGTAAAACTGTAGGGGAACTAGATTGCGTGCATTTGACATGATTCCTAGTTCAGTAGCTTCACATGAGCTAGACCGTGGTGTTGTAGAATTCCTGTGAATAGCCTCTCATTTCTATCCAGGTCCCCAGTATAAATGAAGCATCCTCAGGGTGGGTAGTAGGTTGACACCATTGTTGATTACATGGAAGATTCCTATTTCCAGTAAAAATCTTGAGTCAGAATGTTTAAGAATCTAAACCCTAACAGTTCTGTCTCTTTTCTGAGCCTATCCGTTAACATAAAACAATAACAGTCTAAGGTATAAAAAAGCTACACTTATGTAATCCAAGACCCATGTGTCTAGATTTTATTAAAATGTTGGCATAAAACAGATTTCAGAGACAAGACGCTGACATTCTTATTTTACACAGAAGGTTGGGGTGCAGGAAAGGTTGGCTATCAGACCAGATCAGTCTTAAGAACTTACTCATGTTCTTTTCTTTTGTACTCTCAAATATGTCACTTTTTATCCAGTTTAGGAAAATTATTTCCTTTTGTGGGACAATGAGACAGAAGAATCCTGTCAGGCATTTTCATTTTATTGATAATTTGTAAATTAGGGACAAGTATTGTGCCCTTGAGGCTTTCCGAGAATAGATCAAACAGTTGTTAGGTTAAAGGTATTCTGGGTGGCATAATATATATGGAAGAGGTAAGAGAGGTGCCTGGTGTGGGGTAGGGGCACAGTTATCACTTGTATTAGTATCTTTATTATCATGGTGATGATCAGTATAATCACCCTTTTTTATGCATACCATGAATCATAGATTGCACGGTGGGTAAAGTGTTCCTATGCAAGCAAGAGGACCTGAGTTTAGATCCCCATTGTCCACACAGAAGCTGAGCGTGGTGGCCTATGTGTTTAACCCAGTGGCAGAGGAGTGGTGGCAGTTGGATTCCTGGGATTTTCTGATCACTCCGTCTAGCTAGAAGTGAGCTCCAGGTCCAGGGTCTGAAAATATAGGTCAGAGAGTGACTGAGGAAAGATACCAGATATCAACTTTTGGGATCCATGTGTGCTTTCATGGGCAAGTAAACCTGCAGGGAAAATGGTACTCACTCACAACAAGTGTGTCCCTGCACATATGCATGTACATGTGGATGAGTGTGTGTGTGTGTGCACAAATTTGCAAAAGTGTCTTCTTTTTTTAACTTTTGTATAAAAATGACGATTAAATTACAGTAGAAATAATCATAATATGAAGATTTTGAAGAATATGTGTTGTTAGTATTTGAGGGTGAATCTTTACATGGGTTAAAAAAAAAGAATTAATACTTTTATTGTAGTCAGAGAGCTGGGAATAGTAGCTCTCTGGCTCTAATTTTGCTTTAAACTGTCCTTTGTTGTAGGCCCTATCAACATGGTGCAGACATGCTGGCAGCCATTTCTCAGGTGCTGAATGAATGCACGAAGCCCGATCAAGCTACCCCAGCCGCCTTGGTGTTACAAGGTCTTCATGCCCTCTGCCAGGCTGAGGTAGGCATTTCTGAATGGTTTTGTATAACTCTTAAGCTATTTTATAAGACTGTAAGATCCGGTTTGGGTAAGTGGTAATTTCAGTATTCTGAGATTTGGGTGTGCAGGGGGTTGGTAGAACAGGATTGCTTCACATGGTTTTTGTTTTTGTTGTTGTTTGCTTTTTTCACTTCAGAGGGATTTTGAATCCACAGCTTGACACTCAATAAACACCCTATTTTGGTTTTTCTTTGTTCTTATTTTATTAAGTTGAGGAGCTGTTTACGGAGCTGTTGGATGTGTTTAGATTTTAATTTTCTGATGAAAGACCATTAGAATCAATGAAGGCAAAGAAGTAGGCATGGGTCAGTGGCATTTTTGTAGTCTGAATAAATCGTGATTGGCTTGAAGGCTGGCAAAGGAATCTTCCCTTCCTGATGACTAGATTGGGCAGATGGGTGCGTAGCAGAACAGACTTGCAAATTATTGCCTGAAAATTAGACTACTCTCAGAGTGACAGTGTATCAAAGAGAATGTTTACTGTTTTGAATAAATAGAATAGTCATGTCAGAGATCATCCATTGGCTTGACTATAGTTGGGCATGGTGAGTCTGCACACCACAGTTTTTAAGATTATAGCTAATCATGGTTGTTGATGATGAAAATACTATTATAAGACACATAACAAAATTGAGTGGGTTTGTGTTAAGGTCCTTGTGTTAAACACTTTCTATGCCTGTTCCACAAGTGCAGTATAGGTATTAGCAGGAAAATAGACTTCAGAGAGAAGTTCAGCATTCACTCTGCGTCTTGTTTGAGAATAGTCTGTGCTGTGTGAATGCTTCCTTCTCCAAACAGTGAATATAGTTCTTGCTCGGTAAAATGTGTCCTCAGAATAATTCTTTCAGGTTTGCCACCCTGTGGGTGGAAGGTCGTTAGACCTTCACAAGACTGATACAGCAGGTGACTGCTCACTGAGCTGTGAACTTCTATTTTTCTGTTGCCTTAGTTGGTCATCTGTCATTGGAAGTACTTTTTTAAAACCAATTTTATCACTTTCCCAATATAAGTAGCTAGATCTTATTCTTAAACAAATTTTTAACACAACAGCATTGAGAAAACAATGCATCATTTACTCCTCTCCCCAAAAGGGCCATTTTTGCCATTTTGAAGTATTTCCTTTACATTTTTATTCCAATTAACTTTCCTTTAACAAAAGAGTAATTTAGTCTTCTTGTTCTTATAATTCCAACCCCTCCCCAATTCCCTGCTTGGGGATTGCATAAGGTTCAAGCTTGTCAATGCTTAACTTTTGGGGAATGCCCAGAGTTTGGCAAAGAGTTTTCTCAACCATTTATCTAAGATATCATTACTATGGTTCATACTGAAGATAGGAAAAACTTTGTCTGGTGTGGTAGAAGAAATCTTTGATTTTAGGCTGTCATGAAAACATACTTGATAAGTACCCAGAACTACATACAAAGAGTATGTCCTTTGGTTAATTCACATAGTCATATTTATGCTTCAAATGGAGATAGAAGGAGAGTTTAGAGTAAAGACCCTAGACTAATATCTGCTCTGTTGGTGTTTGCCTTGCCTCTGATTAGATGGTGCCCAGTTAGGTAGAGTCTATATAGAGATTCTTTATAGTTCTTTTTTCTTTTCCTTGACCCCACACAATGTATGATAAGGGTTTGATTTCTTTTCCAGCGGTATCTTCTTTCTCACCAGTACAGCTGTATTTTCTTCATTGTATACTTAAAGCAATCCTATTTGGGATTGCTGAATACTTAACCCTTAATCTTTTCTCCAACCTAAATCATTTCTTATAAAAATAAATTTGAGCCCACTATAATACTGTCTTTCTTTGCCTTTTCAGTGTTCTCCTAGAGTAGTGGTTTTCAGCCTTTCTTTCTTTAAGGTTCTCAGCCTTTTTAATGTTGTAACCTTTTAATACAGATTCTCACATTGTGATGACCTCCGACCATAAAATTATTTCATTGCTACTTCATAACTGTGATTTGTCACTGTCATGGATTGTAATATAAATATCTAATATTCAGAATATCCTATGTATATCCCTCAAGGGTCATGACCCACAGATTGGACCCACTCTTCTATAGGAGCAGTGACATCATATCTAGGTATTTCATTTCATAGAGCTTATCTCTTCCTTCTTTCTAGGATAAAGGAGTTTTCTCTCTTATTTGGTCTCCCTCCTGATGACATCATGCAGTCTCAATCTCACATCTATTTTTAAATTAAAACTTCTCTTTAACATAACCTCACCTGAACTGCAAGCCTTTAATCCAGAACTTGGGAGGAAGAGGCAGGCAGATCTCTGAGTCTGTAGCCAGTCTGGTCTACAGAGTGAGTTCCAGAACATCCATGACTTCACAGAGAAGCTCTGTCTAGACCACTCCCCCGCATCTGATTTGTTAAAATTGGGATAGGAATCCAGTATGTGATAATCTAGCACTAACTGTTTGTCTCCTCAAATTATTTTTGGTAACAAGATGGGAATTAATAAATCATGGAACAATACCACCAATCAGTTATTCTGAGATGTTTTGCTTGTTGAAACTGTATTACTGTTAGTTTTGATAATAAAAATTGTCTTATTGACATTTAGTACTGAATAGCTTTATGTTCATCTAAATATGTAGGAGTAAGCCCACTCCCGATCAGAGCAGTATCTCTTTCTATCTTATGTAAGGCTTTTCTACACTTTATGTTTGTGTGTTTTCATTGTGAAGTTGCTACTGTTCTGTCTTGTGATGTATGCTAAAGTCACGGCATTTACTTAATTCAGCATCTCTTTCCAGGCTGTATTTAATAGTTAGTAACTCGGGGCTAACGTGTTTTGAGGGGTTGGTGTACTACCCTTAGAAGTCAGCATTCTTTCCCATTCAATCTGTTTTCTGATTGATAATATTTATGAAACACTGGTGTAATCTCCAGGTTCATGAATAGACATACTCAACATAGTTCCAGATCTGTTTCCCAGAAGCCTTTGGTCCTGATCTGTCTGTCTGTTACTATCAAATATCATTAGGAGTTTAGAAAGGTAGCCTGAGACAGTGGAATAAATCAATAAAGATAGGAGCATAAACTGAGAAACCCTGGATTTGAGAAAATACATCACCTAGAAAACGATTTAAAATTGAATTTCAAGAGCTTTCCAAACCTTGCTTCTATGCAAGAGGTAACCCTTTACCCTCTTAAACCCAGTAGGTAATGAAGTCTTTGGCTTTGAAAGTCAAAATGATGAACTTTTTTTGTCCTCAGTGGAGTCAGGTTCATCTTAAAAATCGCTGCTGCTTACTCATTTGCATGTCTACCAAGGACAGATTTCTAGAAGAATGGAGTCTGTTCAAATGCCAAATGTGTCAGAGTAATGCTGCCATTATGCATTTTGTGGCTCTAACTGGCTAAACAAAAAAACATATCAAAGCTTCTAGAAATCTCAACTGACCAGAAAGATGCTAATGTCATTTGGAATTAGAAAGCAGATACTTATTCATTCTTTAAGACTGCTAATATATTGATTTTGACTTTATATATTTCTTTTAGGGTAATATTCTCTTAGCTAATATTTTCTGGATGCCTAGTACAAAATTTCCCTTTTTTGTGATATAGGGATGTAGGATTTCATTTTGGGTGAAGAAACAGTCTTGTAACATAACTGATATTTACTGAATACTAGAAATTCTAACCCACCAATTTACTAGGAGGTGCATGACAATGTAGATGTCGGCATGCTCTTTAGTTTACTAGGGTTTGTTCTTTTCCTTCTATAATGTTGCTTTGCCAACTGTGATAAAGTTTGAGGAAATTTAGAACAGTTTGAAGTTTTCTCCTTCAGTCATAGAGTGCCCAAAAGCGGTCGTGAATAAGTCCTGAAATCTCTGAAGTATAGACAGTCAACTCTTATTGCATCTAAACCGTTAAGTGTGAAAATAACTCCCAGTCTGAGCAGGCTGCCCAGGGTTCAATGAAAAAAAAAAAAAAAAACAGTGTGTGCAGAAATAAAGCCAGTGCACTGCACACAGAAAGAGTCTCATTCACTCTGAACTCTCCTCTTAAGGTCTTAGATGGGGACGGGAGGCTTGCTAGCCTGTGTTTTCTTGGTCAGCTGTGAGTCTGTTGTGGCAAAAATTAATAGGCGTTTCAGAATCACCAAGAAAAGCTCTTTCATCTTGCCCAGCCCCATCGGGGTGTTATATTTTCAAAGAAGAGTATTGTACAATTGAGCAATAGATAAGGAGGGGAGGGGCCTTTCCTGGGGATTCTTGACCGCTGGAAGAGTTCATTTCAGGCCATTTGTCACAGCGGTGATTTCCCCAGAGATACCCTGTGCCAGGGCTATGTTTTGGCTATTTTATCCTCTTTTATTTATTTATCTTCTGAAATCCTGGTTGAAGGTACTTGTCCTTGCCCTCTCCCATCATCCTAACCCTTTGTCTAGGGTCTCCTTTACCACACCATGGGGTAGGAACAATTTTGAATGGAACCCAGCAGGTCTGGAAGGTTTTAGGGAGTTAGGGTGATATAAAAATGCCCAATAGAAATCCTGCATGTTGTCTAAGCATTTTTAGCGTGGTAAATATAATTTAGTATGGAAATGTGATCCATTGTTCCACGGCAGGTTTTCTCAGCTGTGTACAGTAAGGCTTCTGTCGCCTACTGTGGATTCTGTATTTATTGCATCTGGAACCTCTTTGTTGGTCCTTCGTTTTGTTTGTGGAGACTTTTAAAGGTGGATTGCCCGTGTAACCTTGCAGAGGACTTGATTAAGTTTAATTTGCTATGCATTAGAGAGTGGATTTGCTGGTCTTTTTGAACTGCCCTCTGTTATTTGTAGTTTGGGGCCCATTTTTTTTTTTTTGATGCCTTCAGTTCTTTCTGGGCATGAAAACTCTTTTTGTACATTTCTCGAATCTATTTCCATGCTGTGCTTTTTATATTCTACACAATGACTCTTTGCAGTTGAAAGTTGTAGTTTGGTTTTATTTTTAACT